GGCTCTGACGCCAAGGGTTAAGGTTTAATACTCCCACACTGGAACTGAGAGGTACTTTACTGAAAATATTTTTCAGCAAGCTTCAAGGGAGTTTATTGAGCCCATAAACACATATTGTATACACAACTTCTTAGGCCATCGTTTTACAAATTTAGATTTGTGTGTGAACTAAGCAGAGAAGGTGTGAAACTTGGACTTTTAACTCTCCACACAGATATTATCCTGTTTCTTAGAAACTCAATTAGCGAATGATAAATACTCTATTTTCTTTGGAAATAAACATTTTATTTTGAGTGTTTGTAAACCCTGATAATGAATGTATTTTGTTTGCTCCCTTATTATCAATGAAATAAAAAAAATAAAGAACAATTATCTATTTTTTATACTTTGTTCTATCTTCCTAGATGCCTTGTAACATACGACATTGCTCATCACCCTCTGCATTCCTCTTGCTTTCCTCAGGCAAGTGCTGCGAGCTGGAAACAGGAGCTTGCTATCTAACAGCCATCTCCGAACTAGCTGTGTTGTCAGGAGGTCATTGGCCAAGGGTGGGGGAGTGACTTGTCCAGCATCACAGCTAGTGTTACAAGGATTGAAGATGGGGCAATGTCCTGCATGAAGTTTATCCCATTAGGTACTGAATAATGTACAAAAAACAATGATAACTTTTCTTTAACCACTTGCCCTCCATAGGATTTACCCCCCCTTCCTGACCAGGCCATTTTTTTGCGTTACGGCTCTGCGTTACTTTAACTGACAATTGCGCAGTCATGCAATGCTGCACCCAAAATAAATATACGTCCTTTTTCCCCACAAATAGAGCTTTATTTCAGTGGTATTTGATCACCTCTGCGTTTTCTTTTTTTTTTTCTGCGCTATAAACAAAAAACAAAAAAAGACCAAAAATTTTGCGAAAATTATTTTTTTTTACTTTTTGCTATTAAACATGTTCAATAAAAAATAGTAATGGCGGCAATCTGCGGCTTATAGCAGGACTGTGAGATTGCGGCGGGCATTCTGGCACAGGGGGGAACTGACTTGGTGTCACTGACATCCCTACTGATACAATGATCAGTGCTAATAAAAAGCACTGACACTGTACTAATGGCACTGGGCAGGAAGGGGTTAACATGTGGGGGCAATCAAAGGGTTTACTGTGTGCTGTTTCACAGTATGCTGTGTGTGCACTTTCAACTGTAAGTACACTGCTTTGTATGGCTCTTCTATGCAGAGCCATACAAAGCAGGGTGCAGGAGCTGACAGGGGACTCTGTTGTTTACATACAGTTCTCTTTCTCATCGGTAATACTCGGCGATCACCGGGTGCCAGTGAGTAATCACCGTCTGGGACCCAGTGATTGACAGTTGAGGCTACAAACGGCGGCGCGGGTAGGGCGCATGTGCCCCCTACCCAGAACAGCAAAGTCACGTATATATACGTGATTTTGTGCACCCCTGCCACCCTTGATTCTTCCAGCTAACTTGTTGGATGATAACTTCCTGTACTCTCTGCCTCTGCAGACAGTTAGCATTGTTCCCAGCTATCTCGGCACTACAGTATTCCACCCAGTGGTGTATTTTGTTTTTGTGCTGCTCTAGCCAACACAAAAATCGGGTGCCCCCCTCCCTCACTAAAAAAAGAATGAGAGAAAGGGAGAGAGATACTACACATACAGAAATATATAAACCCCATCTGAGGATTCCCCTACCTGTTAATAAATAGGTAAATGTAGCTGCAAATATTCCAGTGACATCAGTTGGACCCAATGCACTGACATAGTTCAGGTGGCTAATCTGAGAGATGCCATGTAGGGGTTGGTGTTCCGGGACTCTCTGATTCCTCTGAAAGGTTATCCCTAATACCTCCATCCACAAATCAGGAGACTGAGATCCAATGCTCAGCACAGCAGCATCAGCAACACCCCTGATCCCTACAACAGGCTGCAAGCAAGAAGAAGCCTCAGTATGAATCGCACCAGTGAGCTCATTCAATGTCAGTCCTTCTTCTGGGGGGCAGTGCCACCCCCCAAAAAAATGACACACTAGATAAACACCTTGTTTGCCTTATGTAAAATACACCCCTGACTCCACCCCTCTATGCTATAAGGACAACATCATCCATGAATACAATACAGGGAGTGAGCAGTGTCACTATAGGACATGAAGTGTTACTGGTAGGATCCCAAGGTAAAAATTAAAAAAAAAATCCTTAATAAATGAATGCATTCAAGGACACGTATGCTGCAATATACACTGCTCAAAAAAATTAGAGGAACTCTTTGAAAAAACATCAGATCTCAGTGAGGAAAAATCTCATGCTGGATATACAGTATATACTGATATGGACTGGGTAATGTGTTAGGAACATAAGGATGCTCTATCATTTGATGGAAATTAAAACTATCAACCTACAGAGGACTGAATTCAAAGACAACCCAAAAATAAAAGTGAAAAAATGATTCAGCAGGCTAGTCCATTTTGCTGAAATTGCATTGCAGCAACTCAAAATGGTACTCAGTAGTTTGTATGGCCCCCACGTGCTTGAATGCATGCCTGACAACATCAGGGTATGCTCCTAATGAGACAGCGGATGGTGTCCTGGGGTATTTCCTCCCAGATCTGGACCAGGGCATCACTGAGTGCCTGGACAGTCTAAGATGCAACCTGGTGGTGTCAAATGGACCGAAACATGATATCCCAGAGGTGTTCTATTGGATTTAGGTCAGGCGAGTGTGGGGCCATTCAATGGGATCAATTCCTTCATCCTCCAGGAACTGCCTGCATACTCTCGCCACATGAGGCCGGGCATTGTCGTGCACCAGGAGGAACCCATGATCCACTGCACCAGCGTAGGGTCTGACAATGGGTCCAAGGATTTCATCCCGATACGTAATGGCAGTCAGGGTGCCATTGACTAGCCTGTAGAGGTCTGTGCGTCCCTCCATGGATATGCCTCCCCAGGCCATAACTGACCCACCACCAAAGCGGTCATGCTGAACGATGTTACAGGTAGCATAACATTCTTGAAGGCTTTTACAGACCCTTTCATGTCTGTCACATGTGCTCAGGGTGAACCTGCTCTTATCTGTGAAAAGCACAGGGCGCCAGTGGCAGACCTGCCAATTCCGGTGTTCAATGGCAAATGCCAATCGAGCACTATAGTGCCGGGCAGTAAGCGCAGAACCAACTAGAAGATGTCGGGCCCTCAGGCCACCCTTATAAAGTCTGTTTCTGATTGTTTGGTCAGAGACATTCACACCAGTGGCCTGCTGGAGATCATTTTGTAGACCTGTGGCAGTGCTCATCCCGTTCCTTCTTGCACAAAGGAGCAGATACTGGTCCTGCTGATGGGTTAAGAACCTTTTACAGCCCTGTCCAGCTCTCCTAGAGTAACTGCCTGTCTCCTGGAATCTCCTCCATGCTCTTGAGACTGTGCTGGGAAACACAGCAAACCTTCTGGCAATGGCACGTATTGATATGCCATCCTGGAGGAGTTGGACTGCCTGTGCAACCTCTGTAGGGTCCAGATATTGCCTCATGCTACCAGTAGTAACACTGACCCTGGCCAAATGCACTACTAGTGAAAAACTGTCAAAAAAGAAGAGTATGTAAAAAATGTCAGTGGCCTCCACCTGTAAAACAATTCCTGTTTTGGGGGTTGTCTCATTGTTGCCCATCTAGTGCACCTCTTGTTAATTTCATTAACACCAAAGCAACTGAAACTGATTAACAACCCCCTCTGCTACTTAACTGACCAGATCAATATCCCAGGAGTTTAATTGACTTGATGTTATACTCTGATTAAAAAGTGTTCCTTTATTTTTTTGAGCAGTGTATTACACTTCTGTTTTGGGGCTTAGATGCATTTTCATTTTTTGGCACAGGTGAGTAAATTATCTTTTTTAAATTCTATGTCCAAATGCAATTGAACTGTACTAGTTAATCACGGTGATTTAATTTCTGGTGGACATCAGCAAAGTAGAAAAAAATAGATTGTACAAATATAAAATGAAATAAAATATTAACGATTAAAAATATCAGTAAAGTATTTGCATGTGGCTAATAAGCAAAATACACTCTTACAAATATTACCAGCCTTAAACAATAAGGCAAACTTTATACGCAAAGTGCAGTTATTCCTAGAAACCAATCAGCATGTGTCTTTAAACCTGAACTCCAGGCAAAACAAATATGGTCTAAATACAAAAGCCATGTCCATTCTTACCTGAATCTCGGTGTCATTTGTGCATTTCTTCCAGGTCTATGTAGTAATACAACGTGAAACAACTTTTGCAGGTTGCCTCTGTAGTGGAGCTTTCTGTAATAAAGATCAGTCACTGCTGCTCCCTCTCCTTGTTCAGGGTGATTGGTTTTGTCCCCCCCTCCTGTAGTTTTCTGCAGGCAGTCTGTAGTGGGAGGACCCTCTGAGTTCTGTTCACCGCTCTGCTCATATATACACACCACAGTGGTGATGCCACCCTTTCATTTTTAAGATATTAAGGGGTCTGTAAAGCGTATTTGATGCACCCAAAGTGGATTACATGCTTTGAGTCCTTTAAAGAATATATTTAGATGAAAATGTTTGCACCTGGAGTTCAGATTTCATTTTTTTTCATGATTACCTGTTTTTGTAACATGCTTATTTATTCCTGCTCTAAAATGATAAAGGCTGAAAGTTACTTTTTACAGCCTGGTTTTTTCAGTGCTTCATATAGTAACAAAGGTATCATGTGCCAAAATCGCCTTATCCAAGAAGTGTCTGACTGAAGAGAAGTCTGAGTTTTACTCTTCCCTCTTTTGGTCAGGGTAAAATATCTATTTAGGATATAGGTGGTAAAAAGAGCGTTTTTGTCTTACCTTTTTGCACATTATCTTTGTATTCACAGATGATTTGAACACCAAATCTTTAAGAATTGATGAAAAAGGAGTAACACCTATTCCTCCTCCAACCAGCACAGATACTTCATACTTGTTCCATTCTTGATGCCCTTCACCAAAAGGTCCATCTAAATATATCTAAATAGAGATAAAGTATGATTTTTGTAGCATGATATTTGTTGTAGTGATGTGAGATTGTATCAATTTGACCATTAAGGGAACCTTAGTAACAGCAGCAGTTCTGAGTAAGACATCTATGGCACTTGCATTCATTCACATTTTTTTATTCATTTATATTAGGAATACCCATAGCGCAGGTACTTTTCAATTACATGTTCTCTGCCTACCCACTAACCTCTATAACACCTTGCTTCTCACCCGAAGAAGCCTTTTTCTTTCTGCCTTCCACCCCCTGTCCGCTTTTTTTTTTCTATATTCCCTTTATTTTTTATTCTCCTACATCTTTCTTTTCCTTCATCTCCCCTTTTTCACTTGATCTTTATATCTTCTCCTCCTTTGCCTTTTGACACTCTTTACTCTGCTTCATTCAGGAAAAGAAGTGCACCATAGTGCAAATTGAGTCACCAGTTGTCTTATCCAAAGATACTGTAGGTTGTTGATGAGAGACCAACTTGTGCTCACATCATTCTCATCTGATCCCTGCTTCGATGCATTTTGATCTCTCTTCCCCAGGTGGATCCAAAAGTCTTGGAAACTCCTTCTGGAATATATAGGTTTTATATCACCAGGGGCGGACTGACCACTTGGAAACTCGGGCACTGCCCGAGGGCCCGGGGTCAGTAGGGGGCCCCATGAGATGCCCCTGGTACCTTTTTCATAGGCTTTTTTGAGTTTGGGCAAGGACACAGGGGCCCCATGATCCCCTATTTTTTCCCGGGGCCCCATGAGTTGTCAGTCCGCCCCTGTATATCACCTATTGCTTTCACCCCCAACGGGTCAAACCTTTGTTACCACAGAAAACCATACTTAGCCATCTTCTTATGGCAGCAGTACTATTATCAATTTGCTGTATGATAATATATACACCTTCTTAAGTCTTTTCCTGATTTTTGTTGATTCTCCTCATCCTCACCTTTTTCATAGGTACCATACTGTATAATAAATAATACATTTTCAATATCAATTTTTGTTGAAAAAATACCCAATTACACACTCTCTTGAATATAATATGCAAATGAAATTATTAAAATAGTTAAACATAACTTACTTTTGGATAACTATCAAGCTCTGCGATGCTCTGTGGAGAATACATCTCACGAAGGCGAGTGGTCCATGGTCCTGCTGCTCTGATATGGAGGCTCAATGTGTCTTCATTTGGAGCACTGGTTAATGTGAAGGGGTGATATTCATTGGTTCCTAGGGACAAGCAGGCTATTCTTACCCACTGTCCAGATTTGTATTCAAAGTCATTGGGGCGCTGAAATTTAAGAAAAGTGACACCTGTGGAACAAAAACAGCATATTGAGTGAGTAAAAATCAGAAAAGGTATTTTATTTTAGTTTTGATAGAAAGATGCTTGCAGTCAGACTTTAATCTAAACTCAAAAAGCTATTTAACCACATTCCCGCTGCCCCAAAGCAGATGTACTGCTACAGGGTGGCAGTGCTGTGCAAAATCACATAAATATACGTGATTTTCCATTTCTGGGTAAGGGACACAGCAGAGAGATAGCAAGCAGCAGGTCTTCTTAGTAAAACACAACACAGTACACAATCTAATCACTCCCTAACACACTGTTAACCCTTTGATCATCCCAGATGTTAACCCCTTCTTGTCCAGTGTCATTAGTACAGTATCAATACTTTTAATTAGCGCTGATTACTGTATTAGTGTCACTGGAGATGTCAGTGGCAGTTAGTCAGTTCTGCTAGTGGCAGAATGCTTGCTGCAGTCCCGCTATAAGTTGCTGATCCCCCCCACTGTAGTTTACTCTGTTTTCCCCTCCCACAGTGTCTCAAAGCCCCCCTCCCACAGTGTCTCCTGTGTCCCCCTCCCACCGTGTCTCCTGTGTCCCCCCTCCCACCGTGTCTCCTGTGTCCCCCCTCCCACCGTGTCTCCTGTGTCCCTCCTTCCACCGTGTCTCCTGTGTCCCCCCTTCCACCGTGTCTACTGTGTCCCCCCTCCTACAGTGTCTCCTGTGTCCCCCCTTCCACTGTGTCTCCTGTGTCCCCCCTTCCACCGTGTCTCCTGTGTCCCCCTACCATCATGTATCCTATGTCTCCCCTTCCACCGTGTCTTCTGTGTCTCCCCTTCCACCGTGTCTCCTGTGTCCCCCCTTTCACCGTGTCTCCTGTGTCCCCCCTCCCACGGTGTCTCCTGTGCCCTCCCTCCCATGGTGTCTCCTGTGTCCCCCCTCCCACCGTGTCTCCTGTGTCCCCCCTCCCACTGCGTCTCCTGTGTCCACCCTCCCACCGTGTCTCCTGTGTCCCTTCTTCCACCGTGTCTCCTGTCTCCCCCCTTCCACCGTGTCTCCTGTGTCCCCCCTTCCACCGTGTCTACTGTGTCCCCCCTCCCCCACCGTGTCTCCTTTGTCCCCCCTCTCACAGAGTCTCCTGTGTCTCCCCCCCCACCATGTCTCCTGTGTCCCCCCTCCCATCGTGTCTCCTGTGTCCCCCCTCCCACGGTGTCTCCTGTGTCCTCCCTCCCACCGTGTCTCCTGTGTCCCCCCTCCCACCGTGTCTCCTGTGTCCCCCCTCCCACCGTGTCTCCTGTGTCCCCCCTCCCACAGTGTCTCCTTTGTCCCCCCTCCCACAGTGTCTCCTGTGTCCCCCCTCCCACGGTGTCTCCTGTGTCCTCCCTCCCACGGTGTCTCCTGTGTCCCCCCTCCCACCGTGTCTCCTGTGTCCCCCTCTCCCACCGTGTCTCCTGTGTCCCCCCTCCCACAGTGTCTCCTTTGTCCCCCCTCCCCACAGAGTCTCCTGTGTGTCCCCTCCCACAGTGTCTCCTGTGTCCCCCTCCCACCGTGTCTCCTTTGTCCCCCCTCCCACAGAGTCTCCTTTGTCCCCCCCTCCCATTGTGTCTCCTGTGTCTCCCCTTCCACCGTGTCTCCTGTGTCCCCTCTCCCATTGTGTCTCCTGTGTCCCCCCTCCCACAGAGTCTCCTGTGTCCCCCCTCCCACTGTGTCTCCTGTGTCCCCCCTCCTACAGTGTCTCCTGTGTCCTCCCTCCCACCATGTCTCCTGTGTCGCCCCTCCCACAATGTCTCCTGTGTCCCCCCTCCCACCGTATATCCTGTGTCTCCCCTCCCACCGTGTTTCCTGTGTCCCCCCCCCCATCGTGTCTCCTGTGTGCCCCCTCACATCGTGTCTCCTGTGTCTCCCCTCCCACCATGTCTCCTGTGTCCCCCCTCCCATCGTGTCTCCTGTGTCTGCCCTTCCACCGTGTCTCCTGTTTCTCCCCCTTCCACCGTGTCTCCTGTGTCCCCTCTCCCACAGAGTCTCCTGTGTCCCCCCTCCCACCGTGTCTCCTTTGTCCCCCCTCCTACAGTGTCTCCTGTATCCCCCCTCCCACTGTGTCTCCTGTGTCCCCCCTCCCACAGTGTCTCCTGTGTCTCCCCTCCCACCGTGTCTCCTGTGTCTCCCCTTCCACTGTGTCTCTTGTGTCCCCCCTTCCATCGTGTCTCCTGTGTCCCCCCTCCCATAGAATCTCCTGTGCCCCCCCTCCCGCCGTGTCTCCTTTGTCCTCCCTCCCACAGTGTCTCCTGTGTCCCCCTCCTATCGTGTCTCCTGTGTCCCCCCTCCCATCGTGTCTCCTGTGTCTCCCCTTCCACTGTGTCTCCTTTGTCCCCCCTCCCAGTGTCTCCTGTGTCCCCCCTCCCAGTGTCTCCTGTGTCCCCCCTCCCACAGAGTCTCCTTTTTCCCCCCTCCCACCGTGTCCCCTCTCCCATTGTGTCTCCTGTGTCCCCCCTCCCACAGAGTCTCCTGTGTCCCCCCTCCCACCATGTCTCCTGTGTCCCCCTCCCACCGTGTCTCCTTTGTCCCCCCTCCCAGTGTCTCCTGTGTCCCCCTCACATCGTGTCTCCTGTGTCCCCCCCTCCCACTGTGTCTCCTGTGTCCCCCCTCCCACCGTGTCTCCCTTTGCCCCGCCTCCCACAGAGTCTCCTTTGTCCCCCCTCCCACAGAGTCTCCTGTGTACCGCCCTCCCACCGTGTCTCCTTTGTCCCCCCTCCCACAGAGTCTCCTTTGTCCCCCCTCCCACAGTGTCTCCTGTGTCCCCCCTCCCACCGTGTCTCCTGTGTCCCCCCTCCACCGTGTCTCCTGTGTCCCCCCTCCCACCGTGTCTCTTTTGTCCCCCCTTCCACCATGTCTCTTTTGTCCCCCCTTCCACCATGTCTCCTGTGTCCCCCCTCCCACCGTGTCTCCTGTGTCCCCCCTCCCACCATGTCTCCTGTGTCCCCCCTCCCACCGTGTCTCCTTTTTTCCCCCCTCCCACAGTGTCTCCTTTTTTCCCCCCTCCCACAGTGTCTCCTTTGTCCCCCCTCCCACAGTGTCTCCTGTGTCCCCCTCCCATCGTGTCTCCTGTGTCCCCCCTCCCATCGTGTCTCCTGTGTCCCCCCTTCCACCGTGTCTCCTGTGTCCCCCTCCCATTGTGTTTCCTGTGTCCCCTCTTCCACCGTGTCTCCTTTGTCCCCCCTCCCATCGTGTCTCCTGTTTCACCCCTTCCACCGTGTCTCCTGTGTCCCCCCTCCCACCGTGTCTCCTGTGTCCCCCCTCCCACCGTGTCTTCTTTGTCCCCCCTCCCACAGTGTCTCCTGTGTCCCCCTCCCATCGTGTCTCCTGTGTCCCCCTCCCATCGTGTCTCCTGTGTCCCCCCCTCCCATCGTGTCTCCTGTGTCCCCCCTCCCATCGTGTCTCCTGTGTCCCCCCTTCCACCGTGTCTCCTGTGTCCCCCTCCCATTGTGTTTCCTGTGTCCCCTCTTCCACCGTGTCTCCTTTGTCCCCCCTCCCATCGTGTCTCCTGTTTCACCCCTTCCACCGTGTCTCCTGTGTCCCCCCTCCCACCATGTCTCCTGTGTCCCCCCTCCCACCGTGTCTTCTTTGTCCCCCCTCCCACAGTGTCTCCTGTGTCCCCCTCCCATCGTGTCTCCTGTGTCCCCCCTCCCATCGTGTCTCCTGTGTCCCCCCTTTCACCGTGTCTCCTGTGTCTCCCTCCCATTGTGTCTCCTGTGTCCCCCCTTCCACCGTGTCTCCTTTGTCCCCCCTCCCATCGTGTCTCCTGTGTCACCCCTTCCACCGTGTCTCCTGTGTCCCCCCTCCCACAGAGTCTCCTGTGTCCCCACTTCCACCGTGTCTCCTGTTTCCCCCCTTCCACAGAGTCTCCTGTGTCCCCACTTCCACTGTGTCTCCTGTGTCCCCCCCCCCATATCACACACAGGTAGCACTGCTTTCCTGTCAGTGTGTGTGTAGAGCAGAGCGGAGATCAGAAGACAACACACTGCTGGGTAGAAGGCAGGAGCAGGAACTGCCAAGCTGGTGATTGGTTGCTAGGACAGCCTAGCAACCAATCACTGAGCAGCTTCTGCCCCCAATCCTGCCCTCCATCCAGCACTATGCAGTCTCCTGCTCTATGCTCTGCCTGTAACATGAAAGCGGCAGAGGCTGGGGGGAGGCAGGACTGCAGTCTTTATCAACCTGTCGGTTCCCTGTGATTGACCAGTCGATCGTGATTGAAGGGTTACTAACCTCCTCTCTAAACGCTCCTGCCACCAAACGCTGCTAAAAGTTTATGTATGCATGGACACGGGCTAACGGGGAGGGGGTTTGGAAGCAGGAAAAAAAAGCACCCGATGCCCCTAAAAGCAGCAGTAAATGCACCCTGTGTGCATGAGGCCTAAATGTTTAACCCCCCCTCCCATAATACCACAGTATTAGCAGCAGCGTAGTTCACTTTGTTATTAACAGTTGGCAGAAGTACCTGATGGAAGCAGCTCTGCTTTTATAACACTAATTTCTCTCTTTTTTCTGCTCAGACTTATTAAACTGTCTCCAATAAAGACTATAGCAGGAACTGATAAATATACATGGAACTTGGGTAACTGGATAAGTCCAAAGCTGCCATGAAGGATAATCTGGAAAAGACATGAACAGGATAAAATATGGTATTATTGGATGTTATATTCAGTTCATCTATGCATGATATCGATAAAATCAGCTTAAATGAGCAAATATCATTTAAAATAAATAGAACTATTTTTCATGCTATTTAACCACTTCAATACTGACCACTTTTACCCCCTTTCTGCCCCGGCCAATTGTTGGCTTTCAGTGCTTTCGCACTTTGAATGACACAGCCATGCAACACTGTACCCAAATTAAATTTTTATCATTCTTATTTTTTCACACAGATAGAGCTTTCTTTTAGTGGTATGTGATTACTACTGGGTTTTCAATTTTTTGCTAAATAAACTAAAAATGTTTTTTTGAAAAAAAGTTTTCTTTTCTTATCTTGCAATACAATAAGTAATTTTTCTTCCTGATTCACACTGATGAGGCTGCACTGGTGGGCACTGAGAGGTAGCACTGGTGGTCACTGACAGGTCGCACTGGTGGGCAGAGACAAGTCGCATTGGTGGGCACTGACAGGTCTCACTGGTGGGCACTGACAGGTCTCACTGGTGGGAACTGACAGGCCTCACTGGTGGGCACTGACAGGTTGCACTGGTGGGCACTGACAGGTTGCACTGGTGGGCACTGATAGGCTGCACTAATGAGGCTGCACTTATGGGCATTGATGAAGCTGCACTGATAAGGCATCACTGATGGTCACTGATAGGCAGCACTGATGGCCAATGATATGCTCCACTTATGGGCACTGATGGAGCTGCACTGATGGGCACTGATATGATGCACTAATGTGGCTGCACTGACGGGTACTGATATGCTGCACTGATAATCAGGAATTTGATGATAAGTGCCCTGATTATCAGTGTAAATATCCCATGTCAAAGGAAAGCAGGTTAACGGCTTTCCTTTACTCATCACTGTGACAGAGCTGAAGAAAGGAAATGCCGATAAGCGGCAATTGTTTACTTGTGATCAGCTGTGATTGGACACAGCTGATCACATGGTAAAGAGCCAACGTCATTGACTCTTTACCCTGATCAATGATGCACTGGATCCTCGGGGACTTTAAAAGTGTGATCTCCATCTCTGCGGCAAATTCACACAAGATGGGAGGTTCCCATAGGTTTCAATCTTATGCGTGCCTATCTTGTGAGTCTGCTGCAAAGATGGAGATCACACTTATAAAGAACCAGGCAACCACATTTGCAGGGATGAGACTTTGGACCCAGGAAGGCGGGATTTTACCTATCGCTGAGGCCATATTTAAAAGGTGAGCCACCTAAAGGAACCCATACAAGGGAAACAAGCACATTATGACCTGTAAGTGGACGGATCCAAAAGTTGAGGTAAGAGCAGAGGTGAAGGTGATGGATAACACTCTGCATGACTTGGATTGAGCACAGGAGGTGCATCAAAGAAATATTGGAGAAAGTCACATATATTTCTTGCTACCATAAGACTGATAATACATTTGAAGACACCTTTTTCTTTTTGTATTTTAATTTATTCATAAGGACAATTTGGAATGTATGTTTATAAGACAGTGATTGTTTATGTTGATTTATGTTGATATTCAGTACATCTTTATGGGGTGATATATACTGATACATATAAGGGATTTGATTGATAGCATGTATTGAGTCAGAGGGAGGCGCAGCATCACTTTTTTAATTTATTCATGTTTCTACTGTGTTGTTTTCAGCCACCCTATAGGATAGATTTTAAATATTACATAATTTATCACATATTTGACACTATTTAAGTATAGAGGCATGAGATAATTATATTTTATTATTGGCTGCCATAATGCATAGAATTTTACAGAAAATTACAGTACTGCACATTGAAAAGAAAAGTACATTTTAATAATAATTAAAATATGGCTTGTGTAGCAATGGTATATGTTATATTATTATTTTTTTATTTGATACATTTTTTTTTCACAAAAGTGGAGTTAAACATTGTTGATTGTGAAAGATATAGGTGTGTCTTAGCAGGGAGTATGTTGGAGCTCTGCAGATAGAACGCTGCTACAACACAAGGGTGCCCCTCTGCAGCTGCTGGCAGGGGAAAGGCTTTTTTACTTAGGCTGTGGATGCTTTTAAAAAAATGAACTGCACATATTTAAATACTGGATGGCTGATGTGATAACAGATAACAATAGTTTTATTTGTAAATGTATCAAAGTATGCATTTTAGTTAATATAACTCTTACCAAAATATACATCAGTACATATAAATGATGTGTCAGCCAAAATCCACGGAAACTGATTCGCCGAAAATGACGGGAAGAGAAAACATACATCAATGCAAGAACGGCCAAAAGGAGAATTCCAGTAAATCCTTAAAAAAAGAAAAACAACAGTATCACTGGCTAGCTATATTAGAAATTTTACTTTGCAACTCAAAAATGGAACATCTAAAAAAAAGCTTATAGCCGGCATCAAAACATTATGTCATAAATAAATAAATAATTAAATTATTACAGTTATGCAAATATATGCAATAACTAACTAAGATAAACTAAATAAGTAAAAACATTATAGAAGTACAATTATTTAAATTGTTTTAATTGTTTTCTTATTGTATTCAAGTTTGTTGGAAATGTCAAATTGCAACTTTTTCTATGTGGAATTATTGGATAATTAAGGCCGCCATCTAGTGGCCATTTAGTACATATTTTTTCCTTTCAGATATGGCTAGTAATGAAAGATACTCTTGATCATGCCTTTATTCTTATATATATATATCTATATGTTTTTCTTTTTTGTGTTTTATCCTTTGATTCTTTTTCACCCACTAACTAACTATATATATATATATATATATATATATATATATATATATGTGAGTTTAAAATCGTAAAATTGCTATCAGATCCCTAACATAATTTTTCTTTCCTGGCCTATCTTCACGTCAGCACAAAATGAGTTAACACCTCCTCTGGAACCCACAGGACCACCACTTACTAGGTAAATGATAGACAGTCCCTCCCGAACTGAAGTGTTCAATAAACGAACAACTTCTCCAACACTCAAAAGCAAAGTCGTCAGACTGGAATGTATGGTAGAGATACTATTCCTCTGGGATAGTGATTAGGCAGTGCAGTACTCCTCAGACAGGGGAATCCAAACACAAACTGAAAGAAAACACAGAGGGAGCGCAAATGCCTAGTCCATTACCCAAGATTTATTGAAAGAAAACAGCAAAAGCCAAATGCATACTCACAATCATCCACAGCATGACACAAATGACTGATGGTCAACCAACATGGAGGGTTCCCAACTGCTGGTGTTGTTGGCAAGCTAACAATTTCAGGGGACATATCCCCCCTTCTTCTTGAGCTCTGAAGAAGGGGATATGCCCCTGAAACTTGTCAGCTTGCCAACACCACCAGCAGTTGGGAACCCACCGCGATGGTTGACCATCAGTCATTTGTGTCATTCCTTTTACCTCTGATGTTTGTGAGTATGCATTTGGCTTTTGTTAATTTCTTTCAATAAATCATGGGTAATGCACTAGGTGATTGTGCCCACTGTGTGTTTTCTTTCATTGCAGTGTTTGATAACCTAGCCTGCTACAAGCCACTAGGGAGGGAGTTCTGTGCTGACAGGAAGATAGGCCAGGAAAGGAAAATTGCAGTAAGTATCTATCTAATAAAAAATTTTCATTTTCCTGGCCATACCTCACATCTGCACACAATGGGATATGACTAACCGAAGACATGGGCAGGAGAGAATACATGAAAATAAACACTGACAATTAAAGAAAAGCTACTAAAGACAAAAATAATTTACATCTCTTTTCCCAAACTTTGCAGAACTTGCTGACCGCACGTACTGTATAGCTTGTAAAGTTGAAAGAAGGCCACACAAGAACTTAAGCTAGCCATCTCACATACAGTTGTGTTCAAAATAATAGCAGTCAGACATCACTAACCCGATCAATCACTGTTTTTGGTAGAAATTATATTTCTACATGGCAAATAATTTACTAGCAGGTGTAGTACAGTAATAGAAATCTAACAGACCCAACAGTCATGACATGCATGCTGCTGATTCTGTGTCATTGAATCACTAATTGAAAGGGGCATGTTCAAAATAATAGCAGTGTGGAGTTCTATTAGTGAGGTCATTCATTCTTTGAAAAACAGGTGGCAATTATTGCCCTTATTTAAGGAAGGAAGGCAGCAAATGTACATGCTGGTTACAGTGCATTTCTCTCTGAAATTCTGAGGAAAATGGGTAGTTCCAGACATTGTTCAGAAGAACAGCGTACCTTGATTAAAAAGTTGATTGGAGAGGGGAAAACATATAAAGAAGTGTAGAAAATGATAGGCTGCTCAGCTAAAATGATCGCAAATGCTTTAAATGGCAACCAAAACCTGAAAGATGTGGAAGAAAGTGAAAAACTACCATTCAAATGGATAGAAGTATAGCCAAAATGGCAAGGACTCAGCCAACAATCAGCTCCAGGAAGATCAAAGAAGGTCTAAAGTTACCTGTGAGTAAAGTTACAATTAGAAGACGCCTATGTGAAGCCAAGCTATCTGCAAGAAGCCCCCGCAAAGTCCCACTGTTGAAAAAAAGACATGTGCTGAAGAGGTTACAATTTGCCAAAGAGCACATTGACTGGCCTAAAGAGAAATGGCGCAACATTTTGTGGACTGATGAAAGTAAGATTATTCTTTTTGGGTCTAGTGGCCGGAGACAGTTTGTCAGACGACCCCCAAACACTGAATTCAAGCCACAGTACACTGTGAAGACAGTGAAGCATGGTGGCGCAAGCATCATGATATGGGGATGTTTCTCATACTACGGTGTTGGGCCTATTTATCGCATACCAGGGATCATGGATCAGTTTGAATACATCACAATACTTGAAGAGGTCATGCTGCCTTATGCTGAAG